GGGGAGGGGGCTTCTGGGGGGCGGGTTGGGGACGGTTTTGTTAGATCCCGGTGAGGGGAAGAGTTGTGGGCTGCCAGAGTGAGGGTGTGACTGTGGGGTCTGTTGCGGTACTGCCCTGATGCTGTACTGAGGTGTGGGGCCTGTGGGGTGGAGGGTGATGCAGTGTTGGAGCTTTTCGGGAGGGAGCGGGTGGAGGAGGGGGCTGGGAACTGGGTTATGAACGTTTTGGAAAGGGGTGTGGGTGGCTGGGGCCGGTGGCAGAGATCTGCTCTGCAGGGAGTTGTTTATGGATCCTTAAGTTAATAGTGCAACGTAGAAGGGTTGCTCCCCACACACTGACCTGCACTTTCCTGCTAGCTCTTTGTCCTACCTGCTCCCTATCATCTGTGCTGATATCTTATCTCCCAGGAACCTTCAGGCTCGTTGTTTATGCCCTGTGCTCCCAGAGCATTGCCTGCCTTCTCTTGGCCTTCATTCCTGCCAGCTCTGCTCTATGCTGAGGTTCAGCTAGGCAGCTCCTGGCCTTGTGTCCTTGATGTTCCTGGGCTTGACAACAACTCGTTGTGTCTGGGCTGTCATCGGTCACCACTTCCCCCAAACCAAGAGCACCTTAACATGGGAGGAACTTCCCCCTACTGGCAGATGACTGAATAAATTATTTCCAGCAATTTATGAGTATTTATTGGTCCTCTTGGTGTGAGTATTTATTATTAGTTCTCTTGGATACAGGGTATTTGTTTATTCTGAGGGTAACAGAAAAGTGAATATTGTGCAATAATTATCTCAGACTGGATGGGACAAACTGTTGAGTGTTTAAATAGCTACTGTGTTAATGAAGGCTGAAAAAGTTTATGGTGTTTGGCAAGATGGAAGGTGGGAGAGGAACTCTAAAAGTCTGTTGGGTAAAGAGGTGTCTTGGCTGGAAGGTAAATGCCAGTGTGAAATCCTCAGGGGAATAAACTGACCGTGAATATAGACAGGAGCAAGTAGGTTTCCAGCAATCACGTCAGTGAGGTCTGGGATCAGGAATGTGAGAGATGGAAAATCAAACTTGTTTCTGAGTTAACCTGACTCCCTTTGAGAGAAAATAATTTAGCCTGTGTGTGTCCATGATGGCAGAACTGGACTTGATCTGAGAGGTCCTTCTTGTGTGCTCTTGTTTTAAGGCCAATGCTCAATGGAAGCACAGCCCTGTGTTCTAGTCTCTGTCACACCTGAACTGCTGCCATTCTTCTTCCCAGTCTCCCACCTCCCCTTCCTTCTTTATTTTTGTTTAGTTTGGGGTTTTTTACTGGAAACCAGTGACAAATGTGTCCCTGCAGGCGCTCTGGTGAGGACATGGCGGCCGTGGCCCCACAGAAACGGAGCCGTAGTTCCACGGATACTGAAGGGTATGTTCACTCCTCATGGGTTTTGTTCTAATAAAAGTGCCTGAATTGCTGCACGTGGAATAAAACAGAGAAATCTTTGAGAACTTTTACTGTAAAGCGGGGAAAAATATGAAGATGGTTCTGAGATGCAGGTAGAATCAGCCCACGTTTATTGTTCAGGCACTTCAAACGTTTTTAAATTGTGGCAGTGACCTCTGGCAAGTGCATATCCCTGTACGTGACCTTCAGGCACAGCTGTAGCCCCGAGTAAGTCACAAAACCAGCAGAAACCTAAAAATTGTTTAGAAACTTAAGAAAGAAACCACCTGATATTTGCATTTCTTTGTGGTAAAGCCTCAGTCTTTCCCATTTGCAAATACTTTGATACACAGTGCAGAAATGCCATGCAAATTATCTGAATTGTCTTCTTGTGTTAATGGAAAAATAGTTCCTTAGTTATGGACACCTAAAAAATTATAGATTATTTTTCTCCCCCTAAATCTAGTGGAGGAGAAGCCACTGGCCATGAACAAAAAGCTGAGCCTTACATCCAAGAGAACAACTTGTTGCTCATTCTTTCCTAACTACCAACTGAATAGATGTTTCTCATGCTTGTCCTGTACTTCCCCCACAAAACTATTTCTGTGGTGAGATTGGAGACCAAGAGTGAAGTTTGATTTCTGAATCAGAAGGACAAATTCCTCAGATAAAGTGTAAATAGTCACTGAGAAAATACCTCCCTGACAAGTTATGTTGCACATTCAGCTGTTCCTGCTTGTCCTGAAATGGATTATCTCCTTTTAAACAGGTCCAGAAGATATTAGGGATTTACTGATGAGGTCTGAGGTTCTGAATAGCTGGCAGGGTGAGATTTCGGTGTGGTAGTGTTTCTAAAACTGTTGCAAAATTTTGTGAGATTCCCCCCCAGCTTCAGCAGCCTCACATCTGGGAATCGGGGGTGCACAAGCCTTTTCAGAGGTACCAATCCAAGTTGATAGACTTGGCCTGAACAAAATCAAATTTATTTCTTTTTTTCCCTCCTTAATCAGGAATAGCACTGATCCAGTCATTCCAGAAAGGAGAATGACATGTTCCCAGGTGCTCTAACAAGTTCAGGCAGGAAAATAGATTTGCTATTTAAAAACAAATATGTGGGAATGGTGAGACAGTCTTAAGCCTTTTGATATTTGTGTATTACATTTGGATATTTGTATTTGTCCCAGAGTATATACTTGTACAGGCAACTAGGCTGAGTGGAAGTTAAGTGTAAAACAACTGAAAAAGCTTTCAATACTATATGTGATGTTTTGCTGTGTAATTATTTTTACAGTTCATCCTCAGCTTTTGAGACACCTGTGAAAAAAAGGCTCTCAAGCTTCACTGAGGGTCTAACCCCATGCAAGAAGTCAAGAAATAACTCGTTTGCTTCTCAGATCAAATGGTCATCAAGTTCCAGTGATGAGATGAAAGAAAATGAGGCCATCCTGGTGAAGCCAGCACCGTGGAGGAGGCTGGATGTTTCACCTCTTAAGGCAGCCAGCATTCCCGCAGCCATGCAGAGCGAATCCTCAAGGAAGTTATCCCCAACTCCTGCTTCCTCCTACAAGCCCCTTTTGCCTGTGTTGTCTTTTTATAGCAAGGAAAAGAGATACCTTACGCCTCTGGAGAGGAAGCGGCTGAACGAGAACCTGTCTTTGAGGGAGAGGAACACGGATGAGAATCTCCCTGCTGCCAGCAGGACTGAGAAGATGATCTTCAGCTCCAGCAGGAGTACAAGCTCAAAGCCAACCAAGCATGGAACCAGCTCCAAGCAAGGCAAAGTTGTTCCCAAAACACTTAAGAAGGCAAAAGGAGAGATCTCAGCGGGAAAACCCAGTGTGGAGAAAGAGAATTTGAATTGCCTAATTAAAAAGAAGATGGATTCTCCCTTCAGAGTCCTTAGCATGACAGTTAAACCTGCCCTGAAACTCCAGCTGGGAGCAGCGTTCTTTTCTGCCAAGAAGAAATCACACTCTAAAAAACCGGTTGTAGACACGAAATCTCTCAAAAAAAACCCCCAAACCTCAGCAGAAAAACAAGCACCCGGGACCACCAACAACCACAAAGCCAAGTTCACCTGATGGAAACAAAATCCTGGAGGCAGGTGGTGTGTTGAGAAGTATTTCTGTGCCTCAGAAGAAGGAAAATGAAAACAAGGAGGAATTCACAAGCTGTGCAAATCAAGAGGGAGATTCAGCATATGAAGGAAAAACATCGGCTCAGTATGATGCTTCTAAGTCCTCAGGAGACAGCAATACAGCAAATATGGTGAGTAGAGGTGTCCCCAGGACCCGTGGAGGTGTTCAAGTGACACATGCAAAGCTTGCTGAGCTCTAGTTATTCAGATATATCTGTGGGTTTGACTTAGGAAAACTTTCACAGATTTATTCCTGCTTAATGAAGGGTTGAAACTAGATGATCTTTGAAAGGTCTCTTCCAACCCAACCCATTCTATGATTCTCTAGAACTGGGGTAAACCTCCAGGAAGTTCCCTGCCTGTTGCTAAATCTGTTGCAGTGAAATATTCCATTTGAGAGGGATGAAAGGAAAAGCTTTCTGCATTATTTTTTTCTAAAAGACAATCTAGCTTTTTTTTTTCCCCCTGATACAGAGCAAAGTGGAAAAAAAAAAATTAACTATATTTTTTTTTTTTCTTCTGTTTTAATAAAATACGTAATTACAATTTTTTTTTATTATTTTTTTTTTACACCTCTGCTCTGGAGACAGGCTGAGAGAGTTGGGGTTGTTCAGCCTAGAGGAGAGAAGGCTCCAGGGAGACCTTAGAGCACCTTCCAGTACCTAAAGGGACCCATAAAATAGATGGGGACAGACTTTAGTAGGGCCTGTAGTGACAGGACAAGGGGTGATGTTTGTAAATTAAAGAAGGGAGATTCAGACTAGATAGGAGGAAGAATTATTTTTTTTTTCCTGAGGGTGGTGAGACAATGGCCCAGGTTGCCCAGAGAGGTGGGAGATGCCCCATCCCTGGAAACATTCCAGGTCAGGTTGGATGGGGCTCTGAGCAACCTGATCTAGAATTCCAGACGGGTTTGGGTTGGAAGGGACCTTAAAGATTACCCCCTTCCAACCCCCTGCCATGGGCAGGGACACTTCCCACTAGACCAGGCTGCTCCAAGCCCCATCCAACCTGGCCTTCAACACTGCCAGGGATGGGGCTTCCACAGCTTCTCTGGGCAACCTGGGCCGGTGTCTCACCACCCTCACAGCAAAGAATTTCTTCCTCAGATCTCATCTCAATCTCCCCTCTTTCATCTTGAAGCCATTTCCCCTTGTCCCAGCCCTTGGTCGATTTCTGTAACCTCCTCTGGATGAGGCCATCTAGTTGAAGATGTCCCTACCCAAGCAGGGGATTGGACTAGATGATCTTTAAGGTCCCTTTCTACCCAAAACATCCTGTAATTCTATGTTTAATAAATGTACCAAAGGCCAAGTCCAAGCTTGCTAGGTTTTTTGGCTATCATCAGCCTGCATCCTAACTGTTCTCTCTAGATAACTCCATCTGCAAACATTACCTGTTCAAATCTGAAGAAAGGAGGTGCTTCTCCTGCTGCTGTGCTCTTTGAAGCTAGTTTTGGATTTCCCCATCCATGTGCTTCTCAGCTGGTGAAGTAATTGGACAGAAAAAGCAAAATTACTTACAGAGTGTTTTTATTTAGAGATTCCTCCTGGGTCACAAGGTGTTGCCTGCTGGTACAGCCTGTGCTACCAGGCTTTGCTGTGGGCTGGGATTATTTTATCAGCAGGAACTACGTGTGCTAGTTCTGCAGCTCCCTTCTCCAAGGAAGTTGAGCCCAGCTCCCCTTTTCTCAGGCTTAACAAACCAGTAATGAGTTTTCTGAGCTGCTCTGTGTTTGAAGACCTGTAGCCTTTTGGATATCACTGAAGAGGTATAAAGAGTTCTTATCTGTTGCTGCCTTAGCAGTGAACACCCTTGGGGACAGAAAAGTGTTGGTTTGGGTTATTTTGTGTTTGTTGTTGTGTTTTTTTAAACACACGTTTAATTTTTAAGTATGTTTAGCAGTACTGGGATGGTTAAACTTTGTCATGAGGCTTGATTATATTGCCAATCAGTTAATGCCTGCCAGACCTTGCCATTAATTTTATGGTTTGCCAGAGAATTGTTTCACTTGGGATAAATATTTTGCTTCCTAACATGGGGCATATGTGTGAAAGGGAGAAATTCAATGGCATGAGCACAGCAGGAAAATACCAATTCAGAGCAGGTTTGCCAACTATTTCCTGACAATCCTATTTTGCTGTTGTAGTCTGGCATCTGAAATGTAGGAAAGTAGGAAAAGCCAGTGGAATATTTTCTACTGGGCATTGAAAGGAAGCAGTGAGCAAGATGGGAAGCTGTTTTTATAGGGTTAATGTGTTTTATATTCCTGTGGCTGTTCACTAAAGGGCACTTTATTGTCTCCTTGGTTGACCTGTGCTGTTTTAGGACCTCTCACATTCCTGATTTGATTGTCAATATGTTTTTACAGTGCAGCATTAATAAAACACACACTAGCTTGTGCAAGCTGATCTTGCACGTGCAGTGAAAGAAATAAAAAGCTGGAACGCATTTGATTCTGTGGCAATGGTGATTTTTGTGTTGGCAAACTGCTTGTCAGGTTAACTGGGAAGAGTTGGGTGTTTGAAAAGGAAACTTGGTGACTTTGTTACTGCAAACTGAATAGAGGCCAACTCTGGGCCTGCATCTATCATCATTTTATCTCAGATTCTGCTGGAGACAGTTGCTTTACCTGGCATATGTCAAGAGCTCCTTACAAGTTTGGAAAGCATATACCATTGTATACAAAATAAGTTTTTATGGCAAGAATCAGTTTGAAAACTTTCATTTTAATAGACTTCCAAAAGCTGTGAACATTTGTGGTTGTAGACAGAGAATGAAGCAAAGTCTCAGAGATACTAAGGGGAAGAAATAACACAAACCTCTACAGTTAAGATCTTCAAACCAACCAATAACTTCCATATCCTGCGATAAAACAAAAGCAGGAGCATAAGTGGGTGTTCAGGTGTTGATACTCAAAATCCATTATCATTGTTGTAAGCTGAATTTGGTGTAACTTTGCTAATGGTGAGCTGAGCAGCCTGCTAAGACTACGTTTTATTATTGGAAAATACAGCTATGTGTAACAGTTCATAACATTAATTAATGCTTGTTGTGAAGGTCACTTGAACTATGTGTGATTCTATAGAACTTCATTAACTGGAGGGTTTTGGTTTTGCCCTGGAAAATATTGTCTTCATTTATAGGATGTTGATGAAATGGGTTCTCCAGCCAACCAGTCAGATGATTGCATTATTATTTCAAGCCAGTCTCCACCTAAGGTGAATAAGCAAGGTAAGTTGCTCTGTGACCTTTGTTGCTGTAGGAAAATGAGGCAGAAGTGACTTGGAAAATCTCTTCCTTTACCCACTTTATCCCAGGGGGATCAACCCTGCTGATTTCCCATGATTTCTGGCAACGTAGTGTTTAAATAATAATAATGATGGGGACTCTGCTGTGTCCCTGTTGAATCTGTTTCAGTGTGAAGCACATCATGTCACAACCTGGGTAGGGCAACCTGGGGGTATTCAGACTGGACCCCCTTGCTTTCTAAACTTCTCAGAGAGGAGCCCAGGTGCTGCTGGATCCAACCCTTTGTCTCAGACCTGGGCCTTCCAGGGAGAGTGATTAAAATGTCATGGTCCGAGGAAATGGTCGATTCTGATACCTGCCCCCTCCACCCCTCGGTCATTGTCCTTACCTCAATCGCTGTTCATGCAGCCATTAGCGCTGCCTCCATCCTTTCTGGCAGGCCTTTTGGGATGCAAACGAGAGGGGTTACAATGGGGTTTCAACACCGATTCCAGCAATTACGGGTCCTGAGGGCTGGGCTGGTCCCTCTCACACTGTAAATGTTCTTTTTCTCCTACTATCTAACCTATTTGTGCTTTACTTTACTTTGCTTTACTTAATTCTTTGCTTTATTGCATAGCCCATTCCAGTAAGATTTGGGACGTGATTGTATTGAAAGCATTTCTCTCCATTCTTTTCTCCCTGGACTCTTACTCTTCTTTTACTTTTCCCTTTAAAATCTAGATTTTTAGGCATCTGACTTGTTCATTTATTTGTTTTCTCCAGACTCAGCCATGCCTTTCTCAGTGTGGTGCTCCCAACCACATCTCCATCTCAGTCTCACCAGCACTTACTAGCAGGCAGGGAGTAATTAATTGATTTCACAGTGAACACATACATTTCCACAGGAAACTGTGGTTTTGGATATATCTGTGGTTTGAGGTAGACAACAACCCAAGTGTTTTGCAGACAGCTGCTGCCCAGAGGGTTGATCCCTATCTCTAATTTTTGATCCTTATTTCTTGTTTTGCTTGTTAAGAATAGTGATTCCCCCTATCCTTCTGCTCATTTTCAAGGCAATGCTTTTTAAATTAAACTCTTAATTGCCCCTATGGGCTGGCTTTTACTTACAAAACTATAAGCATATTATTGTTTACTTCTGATGGTCACTGAGGAAACTTCACTTTATGCCTTTTGTTTTGGCAGTGTTATTAACAATAATTATTTGGATAAATATTTTCCCCTGGTCATGTTTGCCCCTTTTCTTATGGTTGGTTTACAGAGACTGTGTTTCCCTACTGACACAAGGCAATTTTCAGAAGTTAATATACTAATTTTAAGACATTATTCTTTCCTCTTTGGGAATAACAAATGACAATGAAAAAAAAAAAAGAAATGTTGCTTAAATCATATTTTAAAGCAAAATAATGTGTTGGCCTCTACCTGCTGCCTCATCTTTCAAGTATGCACTAACATGTGCCAGTATGTTTGCAGAAGTTGAGGTCATGTTATTATTTTTTTCCTAATTTCCTGGTTTCTCCATTTTTCCCTTTTAAAAACAGGCAGCAGTCACTATTCCCAGCAGCCCTGGTTAATTCAGTCCCTGTTAGCCTGAAAAGGTTTAATTTATCCAAGAGTTCCCTTTACATCTTTCCCCAGCTGTGGAAGCTCAGATCTCCTTTAATTGTGTCTCATCAGAACCAATTCTTTTCTTGAGGACTGAAATAACAAGGTGCTGAATGTTCTGTCATCTGAGTTTGAAGTTTCTTCCCTTCTTGGTAGCAGAATCTTCTGGTTTTCCCCTTGCTCTCCTGGTCCAGTGGCCTTACCAGGCAGAGCTCACTTTGCAATGTGTAATTTCTGCTTTCAGTCCTTCACGTCCCTTGATTTCTATTCCAACTGTGATTCCTTGAGTTTCCAGTGAGAGTCCTGGTTTAGCCATGTTTGCCTCTTACTCTGTTTCTCCTGGCACATCTGGTCTTAATCTGTTTCTTGAAGAAACTGCCAGCACTCCTGAGCTTTTCCCCCCTTCCTTTATTCTTGCTTCACATGGGAACTTATTTATCCACTTTTGGAACTTAGTGAGTTCTGTTTTCTTTAAGGTTACCATCTCTCCATCCTTCTTCCTCTTGTTTCTGAGGAATTACATGTTTTCTGTTGCCAGCCACTTTCTGCTGTCTCCAGTTGTGTATAAAAGACTCCCCTTAGTGTGTTTTCCACCTGTTTATAAAGCTGTTGCCATCACATTGCCAAATCCTGCCTGACATTATTTGCCTACTGGGTCCTTTCCCAAGAAGTGCCTTGGCCCTCAAAGATCCTGCATTTCTAGGAAGTCAAAGACTTTATTGGTGTCATCTTCATGACTCCTCAAGATCTTTGCCACTACTGATGTAGAGAATTTTTTTATTGTCCTGTTTCCTAGAAACAACCAATTCATCTTTCTGTTGTTTTTTGGAGGCTGTTAGGGCCTCTATTCTGCATCTATACTTCATGATCCTGTAATTCCTAAGAAGTCTGTACTTGTGAATGCAGTCACAGCACGAGAGCAGAAGGCAGTCTAGTACCTAAACTTCTTATACTTGGGGAAAATCTTTTCCTAACTAATAATTTGCTTGGTTTTGCTTACAAATCTTTGCTCAATTGTCCTAAAACTTGCAGCTCGTGTGCTGTAACTGTAATTTCCCAGCTTCTCTGGGATGAAGAAGCTGTAGGTTCAGGCAGCCTGAGCCAAAGTAATGGAGCATAACAAAACCTTGTGCTTGATTAACGCTCTTAATTAATAGCCAAGGAAATACTAAATTACGGAGGAATTTCTGCTTCACAATTCTGATGGGAAAGCACCAGATAGCCTGTGACATGTCACTTAAGTGGATTGAAGGTGCTTATAGCTGGATAATCACTCATATATGTAACTTTTCTATCCTGCGGCATCAACAGCTTCCCAGTACTCTTAAAAATCTATTTTCTGTAGAGTTCAGTTTCACTCTCCTGTGTAATTTTTGAAGTCTTATTGGTGTTTGAATTTCTGTTTCCATGTATCAATGTGTTCTGCAACTAAAAAGGGTTTTAAACATAAATATTTTCACCTGTCTTTTCCAGCATCTCCTCCAAATGCTGTTGTCTACCCCATATTCACTGCACCCCCCACCAGCAAGAAAAGGTAGGTTCATCTTTCCTAGCTCTCTCCAAGAATGGTCAGAAGTGTCATATCTGCAGAACCACTGGTTTTGTTGGGGGGTTTTTTTGTGTGTGGGATTTTTGTTTTGTTTGTTTTGGGTTTTTTTTCTGGATTGTTTTTTTTTCCTCCTGCAAAAAAGTACTAATTATAAAAACAGTAGCTCAGCTTTTTCCCAATCCTTGTAAGGTTTGGGAGTCTGGGGTTTTATTGTGGAGTTTTATTGGCTTGGCTTTTTTTTTGTTTTAAAGATGCAAGCTGAAAACTTTGTTGGTTTAGGAAGATACTAGCCCGTGAATAAGGAAATTCACACTTGCTTACTGTCTGTAGAACATCTAACTTGTGAATTTGAACATATGATTGAGCTGATTGTTTGGGTGTTTTTAAACTAAAAAGGAAATAATCGTTTTCTCTTAGCTGTTGCTAATGATAAAAATCATTAGAACAAGAGGAACTATTTCAGGATATACTCATCACCAAGAATGGCACAACCTAGGTGGTGTTGGAGCCATCTAGGGGATTTTTATTTATTTATACTACTTTTGTGTTGTCTTTATCTCCATATCGGGAGTGTCCATAACAAGCAGAAACATTCAGCTCAGTCCTTATGTACAGATGGTTCATCAGGGACCTTCACCTCCCATATGCCAGAGACTCTGGACAACTACAAATTTGAATTCGTACCAGAGCTGTCAAAACAAATTGTCTTTACTCTATTTGGCCCATGTTCTTTAAATCTAGTGCCAAACTGATCTCTCTCTGCCATCTGCCTTTTCCATAGTAGCTCTTCCTGTGATAGATTTTTGTAAATTTTACAAAAATGGCTGATGACTTCACTGTTAGCATTTGGGAGGGAAGTATCTGTGTGCTCTGCAGAAATCACCTGAAGTGCAAACATCTGGTACTGCACTGGTCTGGTGTGTTTCGTATTGCACCCTTATTTTTTTTAACCTGAGGAATTTGGGTGTAGCAGCACAGTCAGAAGTTTTGATCTAGGTGTTGAAAACAAGACAGAAGTTATAATAAAAATGGGTGAAAAGGATTATGGGAAGCTACCTGCTTCTTTTCCACTTTCCTGTGTGCACCTGATTGGGTATTTCTTAAGTGTGCTGGGTGATATTTGATACTTGGTGTGATGGGAGTGAAACACCAGCATGTGAAGTTTTTTGATTCTGTAAATAGCATCATCTTTGTCCAATAGAACAAGAGGAAACAGCCTCAAGTTGTGCCAGGGGAGGTTTAGACTGGATATTGGGAACAATTTCTTCCTGGAAAGGGTTGTCAGGCCCTGGCCCAGGCTGCCCAGGGCAGTGGTGGAGTCTCCATCCCTGGAGGGATTTCAAAGCCATGCAGCTGTGGTGCTGTGGGACATGGTTTAGTGGTGGCCTTGGCAGTGCTGGGGTAACGGTTGGACTTGATGACCTGAAAGGTCTTTTCCAACCCAGATGATTCTATGAGACTATTCCATGATTCTATCTTGATAAATTACTTGCAGGCCCTGGGACTCTTTACTTGTAAGGTGTAATTCTACTACCTGATATCTGTGCTTCAGATTAGCTTAATTCTTCAATTCAATTGCTGTCGTATTTGTCAACCTCTAGTAGAAGACAACTTGTTTTCGCACACAAGAACCACAGCTACTCCTCTCTCCCCCACATTGAATCAATTTCTCAATACATTTTGTTAACAATAAAAGTATTCTGAGCCAACTTTACTGTGAACGTAAAAAAAAAACCCCAAGAAAACACAAAACCCAAAACACTTAAAGTTGCTCCTAAAAGAGCCAAAATAAACCTTCCCAAACTTGTCGCGCTACTGTGGTGCTCTGCCGCAGAAGTGTTGAAAGAGTGATCTGACTGCAGTATTTGCTTTGTTTCCTCATGTGGCTTTTCAAATAACTTTCTGTGGTGCAAGTGGAACCTTGGAATGTGTGGAAATCCTGGTGTTTGTGATTAACTGGAAACCAGCCTTGGATTTGCACTTGTCCCTTGGGAAGCTGATGAGCACAAGTTTTTCTACATGAAGTCTTTGCTTTGGAAATTCTCCTTAGAATTCAAATCTATAAAATTGCTTGGTGTATCTCTAAATTAGTTCCATCTTAAGGTTCACTGCATAATAGTTACAATTTCCCGCTTCAAAATGGCTTAAGAAATGTCACCTTAGTCACAGAAGTCTAAAGGTAGGTTAAAAAACCTGTGCAACTAGTAATATTAAATGTGCTTCCCAGTAGTTGATGCACATACGGTAAACTTTATAAATTAATATAAAGCTTCCATGTCTGGATCTGAATCACTGCCCTGTCCTCGTGCCCAACATGCAGTCATATAATCACAGAATTGTTCTGGGTGGAAAAGAGCTTTTAAGATCAAGTCCAACCATTGACCCAGCACTGCCAAGGCCACCACCAAACTGTGTCCCTCAGCACCACAGCTGCATGGCTTTGAAATCCCTCCAGGGATGGGGACTCCATCACTGCCCTGGGCAGCCTGGGCCAGGGCCTGACAACCCTTTCCAGGAAAAAATTGTTCCCAGTGTCCAATCTAAACCTCCCCTGGCACAACTGAAGGCTATTTCCTCTTGTCCCATCACTTATTCCTTGGAAGAAGAAACCAATCCCCACCTCACTCCAACCTCCTTTTAGGCAGTTTCAGAGAGTTTGAAGGTCTCCCTTCAGCCTCCTTTTCTCCAGGCTGAACACCCCCAGTTCCCTCAGCTGCTCCTCATCCCACTTGTGCTCCAGACGCTTTTCCAGCTCTGTTGCCTTCTCTGGACATGCTCTTTTATCTGCAGTGACTAATTTTCATCTCTGTCTGAAATTATTTTCAGGACACAGGCTGTGCTGGATGAACTGACTTCTCCGTTTGGGTCAAGCCCACCTGCAAAACCATCTCACACCTCACAGAAAAGCAAGAAGGGGAAGGAGCTCTGTAAGCGCTCAGGAGATCAGATGATCATTGTAAGGTTCTCCTCGGGGTGTTGCTGGCTTCTTGGGGTGGCTCAGGGGGTAGGAAACAAGAAATATGTCTTGAGGCTAACTGATAAGTAGATTTCCTCACATGTAAACCTGAAACCAACCACACTGTGATTGCTGTAACAGGGCAGTGATTAACATATTTAGAACTAGATGAGGATAGGGTAGTAGCTGGGAAACATTGTTATGGTTTCCCTGGGACTAACGCTTTATTATGGTTTAGATTTCAAAAGAGATTTATGGAACATGATATTAAAAAACACTCAAAGGGAAAGTAAGCCAAGCCTGTATGGATGCTATAGGAGTGCATTTGGCTGGATCATTTTCCTTTCCCACGGCTCCCTGGCCAGAGCAGAGGCAGCCCAGAGCAGTGCAATGGCAGCAGAAAGCA